CCCCAAAACCCCAAAACCCCAAAACCCCAAAACCCCATCATTAAAAAAGCCTAGAGTAAAGGTCGAAGAATTCATTTATGTATAATTAAAGTCACTCAATTCTGATTAGATTAAAAAGAAATGTACTACTATTACTGATGTGATTATTATTAAAGTTATGTTGATTATTGTTACTATTATTATTGCTGTTGCTGTTGTTAATTTTATATTTATTAAGGGTCTACTGATTCGAGAATCACACCTAACTCCTAGGCTGACTGCTATTGCTACTACATACTAAATTACTACTGTTATTAAGGTTGAATTTATTGGAAATTAGTGCCAGGCTGAGTCCTAGGTACACCCATGTGGGACTCAACATTGACTCCTATCATGCCTCTGCCCATCTCTAGTCCATGTTTGTGCTGGCTGCTGCCTGGAATGATCATCATTTCCCCCATTGGATTTTATTTCAAAAAATGTGGGTGATGCATTTATTAAGAATCTAGAATTTCAGGGCCAGCACTGGTCAAAATTTATTCTTAAGCTATATATTAAGGTATTGGCTAGACATTTTAATAAGATTGGTTGTCATATAATTGCTATTGAGTCTAAAGGTCAGGTAGAAGGAAAACATCTTTTGACAAATACTAACTTTACTATTAAGGATTTATTGTCTATTTTGTGTTATTTACTGATTGATTCATCATATAGGGATCCATATTCATAGTAATCCCATTAATCTATTAATTGTAGGCACCACCGAATTTTTCTTCTTCCTCCAATCTCTCAATTCTTTGAATCAGCCTATTGCTCATTTGAACGCTAGGGTTATTTTGAATATCATCAGCATTTCTGTTAGGATGAGCATTTTTCCTGTGAATGGAAAGTTTACCTCTTTGTCTGAAAGTCTCTGCACAATTATTTATATCACATACAAATGGTTTAGCACCTGTATGAGTATATTCATGCTCTTCCAAATACTGCGGCAATGAGAATGCTTTTTAACAGAACTTGCATATATGCTTCTTAGAATTAATATGCCTGAGATAGTGACGCTTTAATGAGAACTTGCTAGAGAAAAGCTTCTCGCAGTCTCTAACATCACATTTGTAAACTTTTTTTCCCATTTATTAATCGAATATTAATTTAGATTTTTTCCATTTCGAACATAAATAATTAATCATGGGGTTTTGGGGTTTTGGGGTTTTGGGGTTTTGGGGTTTTGGGGTTTTG